GGTGGGGATGTCTGGGGGGGGACACTGGGAGGATTGTGGGGGCAGGGGCTGGAGCAGGTAGCCATGTAGAGGGGCGAGGCCCATGCCTGCAGTGATGGGGACCACAGCCTGAGCAGGACCTGGGCCCCAGGCTGGATGAGGGACTCCAAAAGCCCTCAGGGTCAGCTCCTGCTAGAAGCATGTGGAGTCTCAAGTCGGAATCATCTCCAAAACACTCCTGAGAGAAGGGAGGAGACTCATACATTTAATATGGTTGAGCACCTTTGTAAGAAGGTAAAGTGCTTCTTACAGTACTTACAAATAGTGAAATACAAGCATTTGGAAAAGACGCAGGCCCCAGGTGGGTGGGCACGCGGCGGCTCTTTGGTGTGAGATGGGAGGCAGCAGCTGGTCTGTCAGAGGCCCCCCAGGTCGTCTGTCAGAAGGGTCAGCAGGAAGCGGCTGACGTGCCTGTCCACAATGACTGGGGAGAAGCCCAGGACACGCCGGGCCCCTGGCAGCACCTTGGTGTCTGGAAAACAAGGGTGTCTCAGAATCCAACTCATGACACTGCCAGCTTCACACCCAGGTGACATCGAGTGGGCCTGCCAGGCACTAACTCCATGACCTTGACATCTCAGCATAGCCAAAAAGGGATGGTGGGGCCACCATGCATGGGCCTCCCATCCATCCACCAGGGCTGTGACACTGGAGGGGACCAAGGCATGGGGAGTGCCCTGCTCCAGACCCCACTTGGGGCAGGGCTTTCTATAACCCCTGAGCCCCAACTGTGCCCCTTCTCCCACAAGGGGCCATCATTCTCTGATCCCTGGGGGTCGTGGGCCACCAAGCACCGGGCGTGGGAATCAGGACCCACCACCACTGGGCCCCACACTCCATTTCTCCTGAGTCCAGCCACTGTCCCACTGCAGGTGAGGAAAGCGAGGCTCGAAGAAGCTGGGGACTGGTGCCTTCCTGCAGAGCTGTGTGGGCAGTGTGCCTAACAGGTGTGGGAGCCCCCCCTGCCCTGGGCTCTTGTGGAGTCTGGGCTGAGGCCTGGCCAGGCAGCACCCACCTGGAGGGCAGCAGTAGATGAGGAGGGCCAGCCCTGCAGCCAGGCCAAGACAGGCCAGGAAGGCCACGGGTCCTGGGGGAGAAATGCGAGTCAAGGGCTGCCCGCACCTCGGAGGGCAGGGAGGGGTTCTGAGACTAAGAGGGACAGGCTTGTGTCCTCAGTGGGCAGGGGCACCCCCGGCGAGCACTTTAGGGGGGTATGTCCACGGGAAGCCAGGAACCGAGCCCAACTTGGAGTGGAGAAGTCCCCAGGTAGAGATAGAGCCCTGGGTCGGGGGACAGAGGGGAAGCAGGAGGCGGTTACCCCTGTCACTGAGCTCTCGGCTCGCGGTGCCTGATTCTAGCTCTGTGCAAGCTGAGTTCTCTGGAAACAAAATCACAGGGTGCAGTTAGTTGTAGGTGGGCCAGAGAGGAAAGTGCTCACCCGCCCTCAGGAAACCAAGGGGGCTGCCAAGGTCCCTCGGCCCCAGGACCACCCAGCCCTGGGCAGAGCTGTGCTGGACCATGTTGTGCTTGAGGGAGCCTGCGCCCAGGAGGGAACCTTACACGGTTTGGGGTCTTCGTCTGTCCACTTTCTAGGACCTCAAGGGCCATAGGGTGGGGGCCCGGTTCCCCTGGTGGCCACGAGGCACCAGATGGAGCACAAACCCTGCCTGATGAAAGTCTGAAGGTGTCCAAGTCAGCAGGGTGCTCTCTCCCCAGGCCTCCCAACAAGCCATCTGCCAGATGGCCCTGAGGGCAGCCGGGAGCTGGGAAGGTGCTTGACTCCCAGCAGGGCTGGTGTGACAGAACCGTCTGGTGCTGCAGGTCAGAGCCAGTCCTGCCAGCCTATCCCCGGGGTCAGATGCCAGGCCCCTGGGTGAGCTACCTCATCCTTTGGGGCCTCTGGCCTCTGTTCTAAGAATCAAGGAATAGCAACCACTCCTCCTGGGGAACGGGGCACAGAGGCCTCAGGACTGAGCTGCCATCCCCACCTACACCCTCTGCATCCTGATCCCAGCAGCTCAGGGGGACCCTCACATGCCTCCCAGGCCCATAGGCGGGACCCCCCAAAACTAAAACACATGTGCCATTGGGCCTGGGATTGTTCTATAGAAAAACCCACACTGGGACCCATCTGGATGAAGGGTGGGTGCAACCTCAGTACCCACCATGGGGGCTAGCTCACTAGAGGCTGGTACAGGCCACAGCTGTGAGGCATTAGGATCACAAGGGGCAGGATTCCCACAGTGCAGTAGGTTATGGAGGGAAGGGGCAGATGCTATCTTTTGTGTAAAGACTGGCACACAAGAAAGAGACAGAGAGAAACAGGTAGACAGAGAAAGACACAGAGAGACAGGGAGACAAAGATATCTATCTGTGCTGTGGGAAATAATCTCTCTACTCTCTGGGGGCCACAGGAAACAAGACGGAGCCACAGACAGTGGCTAGTGAGGGGCTGAGCAAGGAGACGCTGAGGCCTGGGGACTGAGACACTTACGCAGGGCGTGCCGGCTTGGCAAGCGGCTGTGCAGGGGCTGGGCGTGGATGTATAGGGCACGGTAGAACTCCTGGCAATCCCGCTCGGTGCTCCGCTGCAGGTGACCCAGGAGGTCACAGAGCCTCATGCGCAAGGACACCTTGGGGTTCCGGAACTGGGGGTGGGGGGGAAAGGGGCACAAAGGAAGATGAGGCTGGAAGGGGCTGGGCCAAAGTGGCTGTTCTGTGGGATGGGGGTAGAGGGGCTCCAGCCCCGGCCTCCTCATGGCGCGGTGACTTTGCCTGGGTGCTCCACATAGCCCCAGGAGGCAGTGACTGTGAACCACGGCCTCATGGTGCCTGAGACTGTGCTGGGCTCACAGCATGGCTGCTAATCCTCACACTCCCTGTGAGGGTGGAGAGAGGCCACCAAGAAAGGCAGTGGTGACATTATCCCAAGTGTGGGAACTTAGTGGCTTGCTGTGTGACTTCAGCAATTGCTTCATCCCCTAAGACTCTTGTTTGCTCATTTGTGAAAAGGGAATAATAAACCCATACTGTAGGGTTGTTACAGTGAATCAATGAGGTGATGGCATGATTCCTTCTAATACTTTACAGTCTAAAGGAATGTAATTCAAGTATTTAAAAAATAAAACAACGGCTGAGGAGGAAAGAATTGGCTCTCTCGATGTGTCTGCTGGAAAAATGTGTGGCTCTAAAGGTCAGTGGATAGGGCACTTGGCATTGACCCCCAGGACCTGGAGGCTGTGGCCTGGTGCTGCCCCCTGGTGGCGGCATACTATTTTACATGAATGAAGAACAGAACCACATGTGTGCAGACCTGCAGGTACCCATGTGGAGGAAAGGGCCTGGGCAGGTATAAGCACATGTGTGGAGATGTTTCCTTTTTCTTGTACAAACTTCTCAAATTTTTAAAAATCAACATGTATTAAACTTTTGATTACAATAGTAAGACATAAATTTGAGCTCTTCCTTTTTAGTTTCTTGTATTACTTTCATAACTTAAGTACCGTATTTTGTTGTGTATAATGCACACCCACGTTTTTGGCCCAAACTTTCAGGGAAAAAATCTTTCATTTTAATTTTCTAATTCAAAATTTTATTTGTTTATATATAACTACTTGTTTTTAGTATTATAAAGGAATTTTAGCATTTATTTTTTAACACATTATGGTACAAAAAATTTTACGTAACAAATAATTACAAAACACAAGAACAGATACACAGTACAAGAAATTTTATGTACCAGTAACAAATTTACGATATTTACGCATGGTAGGAGGCCAAGAACTCTTCGTTGTTGCAAGTTCATAGTAAGTTCAACAAAACTGATTATTGTATTCCAGGGTATTACTTTTCATACGGATATCGTTATTGATTTCTAGAGTTAAACTTTTAACTCATAAGCATAAATAAAAGAATTAAAAGCATTTATATAGATACAGAATTAGTAGTACCCATGTATAATATGCATCCTTATTTTTCCCTCACAAATTTGGGCAAAAATGTGCACATTATATACAGCAAAATACAGTATCTGAGTCAGTAGCAGGTCTATGTGCAATCCAGTTCTGTCAGGGATCAACCTCACCTGTCCCCAGGAGAGGCCCCAACCCTCTGGACAGCCCCCATGGCTGTCCCGTGGCGCCATTAATCTGCACCAAGGCAGGAAGCTGCAGCTCCAGGAGGGCTCACTCAGCCACCCAGCTGGGAAGGGAGCCCCCACCCCAAAGCCCTGGCTGGTCTTTGGCACCCACCCTCAGCCCCACTGGGGAGTCAAAGAAGTGGGTATGGCAGGCAAGGTCAGTCAGTCTTAGGCAGTGCCCATGAACAGGATGGGCCGTATTACACCCAAAATGCTTGCTCATTTTGAACTTTCGAAAGAGACAGAGTGAAGAGCCACGTAGCACTAGGGAGGGCCTGGCAAGTACGTCTGCTTCCCTCCCTTGCCCCCCTCCCAGGTTTGTTGTGTGTTGTCACGTCTCCTATGATACTCCCAGCATCTCTGAAAGGGGCCAGCAGGTACAATGACACATGCAGACACTGGGACTGAGAGACTCATGTTCTGGGCCCAAGGTTACCCCAGAGACAGTTTTCATCTCTGAGCTCTCCTGCCTCCCGTTCTCCCAGCCCAGAGAGGAAGGAATAGGAGAGACGCGTCAGGCGCGCCCCTCAGCACCTTCTCAGCGTCCTTGTTGTTGAGGATCTGGGGATAGTAGCGGTTCAGCTGCAGGATGATCCTGTCCACCTGCTGCTCACTCAGGCGCCCATGGCCCATCAGGAAAGGCGTGTCCTGGACCAGGCGGTCACAGTAGGTCTGCTCTGAAACACAGGCAGAGAGCACGGAGGGCATGAGCCAGCAAACCCCGAGGATGGGGTGACAGGCACCCCCATCACAATGCAGCAGGGCCCCCATGCCCACAGGAGGCACACAAGCTGTAAGCACCTGGACACGTGTTGACATCCCAGCTCATGTGGGTGGGCCTCACGCACAGCCTAGAGCTCCCCATGTCTTGTCAACGCCCTGGCCAGAAGATGGGATGGGCAGGTATGGTGAGAACAGTCCTGAATCCTCAAAAGGAGAACAGAGCCTCTGCCCCTTCTCTTCTATGAAAATACACTCAGAGGGCCGAGGTAATCTGCTGCCCAAGGGTTCCCACAGCCATTGCTGTCATGGAGACAAAAGCACAGAGCTCAGCGTGGCCCGTGCTGGCATGGGCACAGGTCCATGTGAGTAAGTGGACAGGGTCACTCTCCGGCCTGTCTGCAAGGCCTTGAAAAGTTGCCACCAACAGCAGACCAGGGTGCCTGCCCAGGGGGATGAGAAAGGCTTTTTCTTTTGTCTTTTCCTTCAGAATCACCATTAAAGCATCATTGTTGAAACTTCTTTCCCATTAAGAATATCCCTTAGAGGGCCTGCCGAGTGGCGCGATGGTTAAGAACTCGCTTGGGATGCCAGAGGGCCCCGGTTCGGATCCCACATATGAGGGCCAGTGACACTGCCC